TTCCGGCCCGCAACGTAAAAGCACATATATATATATATATATATATATATATATATATATATATATATATATATATATATATATATATATATCATGACAGAACATAGAACAACCGTGCATACCGGGTTACACTCCAGACCAGACGACCATACACATAACATGTAATCATATAGCAATTCACAGTTAGCAAATCGATCAACAGATCACATAACATATCATTACCCTAACCAAGATACCAGCCTAGCCGATCACTAGCATAACATCACCCTACGACTCAGCCAACATAATAATTATGCATATATGCCTTTCCAGGCCATGACCTTCCGGTCCACATCGCATTGCCTCCCGGCCCGCAACATGTAATGCCTTCCGGCCCATATCCCGCAATATCATACAACAGAAAATTACCCGGATTTCCATCCGATAAAAGGGTCAGCCTTGGTGCCTTAAACCCTATAGATATAGTGAGGATAACTCACCTTGAAACTGCCGACTGAACAGATAACCCGAACTGCTCCGATCTCCGATACGATCTCCACCACTGGACAGCCACCAATGCACTGAACTCAAAACCATAACCAACAATTACCAAAATACCCCTGGAAACCACTAGTCAACCCTTGGTCAAAGACTGGGTCAAAGTCAACCCCTGACTGACCCTACTCGCCGAGTTAACCCTATGACTCGCCGAGTTCCCAACTCAAAACTTCACTCAATCCGCGACCTAACTCGCCGAATCACCCCGAGACTCGCCGAGTCCAACAACTCTGAGTCCATTCGCACATAACTCACCGAGTCATCCCTTGACTCGCCGATTCTTCGACTCGACCAGAAAATATTGGGACTCTTCGACAAGACTCGCCGAGTCCAAATGGACTCGTTGAGTCCAAGGCTATCTTCAACCTACTCGCCGAGTTGTTCATCCAACTCGTCGAGTTCCAGGCCATCTTCATCCAACTCGCCGAGTTGTTCTTCCAACTCGTCGAGTTTCAGCTCGTCTTCAAGCAACTCGTCGAGTCCACCCATGTGACTCGCCGAGTACCACTGGTCTGAATCCAAATAGAAGCGTTCCAGACCATGCAATTGATCCAAAACATAGATCTAGCCTCCTATAACTCATCTATCACGTAAAGTGGCAATCTTTACGTGAATCCAAAGAGATCTATGCATTTTGCACATTAGGGCTAAGGTTTGGGACAAGATAGCTTCATCCAACACTCAACACAGGGACTTTCCTGCATTCTAACCCTCCTCCATTCCAGATCTGAGGTAGCAACCTCAGATCCAACCTTTAGACTCCAAAATAACTCAAGATAAGTTTCCCCCCAAACCCCAAAATGAAGAGACAAGACAATAGCAGCTCAAGAATGAGATTTTACCTTCAAAGAGTGCCCTAAACTGCAAGGAAACTCGAATCCAAGCAAAACCCCTTGCTCCACACCTTCAAACTTCCAAACTTTCTCCAACAATTACTTCTCCAAGCTCCAATCCACTCATCAATGGTGCTTCTCCACGATTTTAGGGTTTCAAGGACTCAAAGGGGTGATAAAGAGGCTGGGGAGGAAACATAATGCTCTTTATATAGGGCTCAACCCCGAGAATTAGGGTTTTCTCCACTCAGCGCCTACTCGCCGAGTCCATCTCAATGACTCTCCGACTCGGCTATTTAACACGCGACCAAGTCGCGACTCTACTCGCCGAGTCCATCCATGGACTCGACGAGTCACTCCTTCCCAAATTACACTTTTAGCCCTTCCACACAACTCTTGCTATTTCGGGATGTTACATTTTGTAATGATTTTTGTTTTTGAAACACATAAGAATTTTAAGTTAAATTGTTTTCTACTGTGTTTTGATTTGCGAAGAAACCTTCAGGTGTTGACTTTTGATTGTCTTTTTCAACCATTTTATTGAACTCAGGATGAATTTTCTCAGCATTTCCAGTAGTGACAAAAACTTGATTTGGAAAAATAGTTTTATCAGTACATACAAAATTTGGATATACCACTGTGTTGGTTTCCAAATAATGTGCGCCTTTGTCATTTAAAACTTTGTCAAATTCTTTTGTGTTTTCAAACACTTGATCAACCACAACCCTTTGATGTGTTTCAGTTGAATTTCGCTTTTCTTCTTTATTTTCATTAGTATCATCAGATTTCCAGCTTTCAACTTCCACATTATCAAACTTACAATGTTGCGAAGTTGAAGATTTATCAACTTTATCCTCTACTATTGAATCAACTACTATTTCTTTACCTTTGATCTTAGATGTGATATTAACGATTGACAATTGAGAACAATCAATCTCTTCTTCTTCTTCAATTTCACTGATTTCACTCACATTATCACAATTTTCATCAATATCAGCATAATTGAATTGCGAAGTAAGAGTTGAATTTTCGGTTTTCTTTAAGATTTTCACTTGTTCACTTTTTGTCAAACTTTCATTTACAATGTCAACCAACTCATCAGCATTCAGAAATTCATCAATTTTGACAATACCATATGAATATCTATCATCCGGTATTTTGTCAAATTGAGCAATTGTACTTTCGTAATCATAAGAAACAACATCAACTTTTTCACGCTCATACTCAAGAAAAGGTAAAAGTTTCCTATGTTGTTCTTTGCTAATATCAGAAGAATGATGTAAAGCAGTTAATTTTGCATACAACCTTTTTGCTGAATTACAATAGATGTTTCTTTGTGCTAGTAACAATCTAACATCATTCGAAAGATTATTCATATCACAATCTATGTTTTTGATTTGCAATTCTAATTTTTCTACCCTGCTCTTCTTTATTTCTAATTCCCTTTGTGTCTCACTAAGTTGCACATTCAATTTCTTAGCTTCATTACTAGCAGACACAATAACAGAATCAAAATAAGCCACAGTATCATCAAACGAAACAATTTCAGCATCATAAGCAGACAAAGGAATATTAAAAGATTCAAGAATTGCACGTACCTTGGTTGTCATGGGAGATTTGTCTGTGGATTTAGACATAAAACATTTCCCAGAAATGTTCTCTTTGCAGTCCTCAAAACTTGCGAACATAGCTCCATGTGTTGGATGTCTCATTTCTTCATCATCAGAGCCTGAAGACCAGATCTGATATGTTCCACTTTCTTCTTCATCTGATTCTCCCTTAGCAACCAAAGACACTCCTTTGTTCTTTGCCCTTAACTCTTCAATTTTTTCAGAATAATAAGCTTCATCTTTGACTTTTTCTTTCTTTTCTTCTTTCTTTCGCAACATGCAATCAGCTGCGAAATGATTCGCACCATTGCAGTAGTGGCAATAAATTCCTGAATCACCCTTTAACTTTTTCTCTTCATTCGCATTCTTCTGTTTTCCATCTGTTTTCTCCATTTTCTTCTTCTCTTCTCCTCCAGTTCTTGTTACTTCACTTTTCACATCACTATTCTTTCCTTTTGGATTAAAAGGCTTTTTGAAAAACTTTTTAACTTTGTTGTTCGAATAGTATGCTACTGCTTCATCATCAGAGTTCATCAAAAATCCTTCTACATCAGAACCATCTTTTTCATCAGTGTCTGTTACTTTTGAAACAAGAGCCAAAGGACCACCAATAGCTTGTTTTGATTCTTCATACATTTCTGTGACCTCACATTCATGTGTTTTCAGTTGATTGTAAAGATCATTCAATGTAGTTGTATCAAAACACTGTTGATTCTTTATCATCATGCTTACACCGCGCCATTCTTTGCGAAGACTCATAATGAAAGTGAGATTGAACTCCATGGTAGATCTAGTAATTCCATATCTGTTGCAGCGAAACATAAGCTCATTCAGACGATCATAACAACTTTCTAAAGTTTCTGAATCCTTTTGTCTGAATTCCTTCAGTTCAACGAGGCACTGCTTCACAGAGTTGATCTTCGTCTTTTCACTTCCTTGATATTTTTCTTTTAGAGTATTCCAGATCTCTTTTGCTGTTTTACAACTACGAATGTAATTGTAAACCACAGGAGGTAGAGCACCTCTTAGTTCTCTCATACATCTCTTTTCATTTTTCTTCAATCGATTGCGTTGTTCTTCAACATCAGTAGACGCAGCAGATGATCCAATTGGTTGAACATTAGTAGGAGCTAGTACTGTTCCATCAATAAACTTCCAAAGTTCTTCATCAATTCCATTTAAGTAATCTTCCATTCTATCAGCCCACTGATCATAGTATTCTGGAATTAACATCGGAATTTTAGTTGATGAACCAAACAAGTGAGAGAAAGAAGTCATTGAATTCATGTTGAAGTTCGCCATTGATGAACACAGAAAAAATCTGAAAACTTGAAACCTTGATGAATTTCAGAATTTATCAAACGAATTGATCGCAAATCACTAATCGATTACTCGATTTAACAATTCAAATGCAGAATCAATTCAAATCTGAAGATCAAAAGTGATTTTCAATATCAAAAATGCGCGGAAAATTTTGAGTAAATTCGTAACTCAAAAAGCAAATGATTCTTATATGAAAATTAGATCTAAGCAGTTTGAATCCTGCTCTGATACCAATTGATGAGAATTGTTATCGAGAATTTAGAACAGAAAAGATAGATTTGAATGAATTAAGATGAAGAACATCGAGAGTAAATATTAATCAGATCTCATATTGATAAAATCTGATTACAGAGTTAAGCAGAAGTGAGTTCAAGCATCGTACTACAACTTCTAGCCTAAGTCCCTATTTATAGGGAACCATCAAAAAGTATACTAAGTCTATATATTTTATTTTCGCATAAAAATGACTTAGTAAAATAACATAAAATGCGAAACTATACAAAACACTCTATTCGACTTTTACAATATACATCAACACTTACCAAATACAGTTACGAACTTAAACACTAAGCCAACAAAAACTACATATGGCAAAATAAATAATAATCTGAAATGTGGCAAAAAAATATTTATTTATTAGGATAGATTAATTATTATTATTATTATTATTATTATTATTATTATTATTATTATTATTGACCGATACAATTTTTGGAGTTTGTCAACAATAATAAACAAAATTCCAATTTAAAACCCCAAAAGAGGGGTGAGGAATCCTGTTAAAAGTTGAGGCGATCGATCGATCCAGGAGGAAAGAAAGGGGGAGAAATGGCTTCCGTTGTGAGGAACGTTCTGAAGAGCATCAGAGAGAAGGGTCTTGTAAGCTTCGCAAGAGAGCTTCGTGAAGAAGGATTTCTGTTCGTTCTTTTTCCCTTCCATCTATCTATCTATATATTTATTTTCCTTTCTGTAAAATTAATCGAATTAAAGATCTATCTCGAAAATGAGCTATTGTTCGTTCAATTTGATGTTGACCTACTTCTAGTGTGTATTGAGTGTGGTATGTAATAATTTCATGACGCGTATCGGTAGGTGAAGAGATGAAGAAAGAGGGGGTGGGGATTAGATGATTATTAGATTTTTGAAAATATGCTTTTACAGTGTCGTAAATGCATTTCGCTCGAGTTGAGGGTAGTGTTTGTGTATGGGATTAGGTTATTTTTGTTCGTATTTCATGTTTTAGGGTTCTCTATTTCGAAATTAGAATGAATTCTCCGATATTATTGTAGGTTGATGATATTGCGTAGATTAGATTAATTATAGTCATTCGCTTTTAGGGTTTGCTAGTGTGGAAATCATGAAATTGATGGCATTTTTGAAAGACCAAAAGGGTGGTTTATACGATTCAGATTCAGAAAAACCTGGAGGACTATTTTTTCTTTTTTATTTATTTGCAAGCAAAATTACCTATGTTGGTTTTTTGAAATTTATTATAATAAGAGATGATATTTACTATTATTTCTTCCCATCCTAAATTAATCATTAGTAGAATATACATAATACATGCAGATTTATGGACTGTTTTTTCCTAACATTGATACCAGACATGAGTGATGATGATATTTGTGTAATAATGAAAATCTTGAAGGCCATATCATTTCTATAGTCATAGAAGAAATGGTTTAGTGTAGTTATTGATGTATATATAATCAGATAGTGGACTGGACATATGATATATGAAAATAAAAGAATGTTTTTATCTTTTACATGAATCTCATTCTTATCATGTTCCATTCATGCAACTGCATTTAAACTTCTCTTTTTTTGTGCTTGTTTCAGGAATTGTCTAAGTGATGGAAATCTTTTGTAAGTAAAGCTCCTTGACTTATTAAATATTAGTTATTATATATATATATATATATATATATATATATATATATATATATGTTTCAGCTATCAGCTACTAATTTATTAGTGTAGTGAACTAAGTCCATTTGTTTCCTACTTTGTGTGATGAATTATGATGTTGTCTCACTAAAATAACATGATGCGTCACGATAATAAAAAATAAAAAATTAAAAAAATCATTGCTAATATCAGTATTATATCATACTGAAAATTACAAATTCTTGGAGATATTATATAAAGCTACCTTTTTCGGGAATGCATTATTTATGAAATTTTTTTTTTGGGAAAGTGAGCATGGAAAATATGACAACTAAAACGATCAAATGAAAACTCCGATGTAAGGAACTATTATTATAATCTTAATTGTTACAACAATGATAAACCTTGTAACTATTTAAGTCCTCAAGAACATTGAAAAGACCAGACTGCCCCTATTGCCCACCCTTAGCTCTGCAGTAATTCTACTTAACTCAAACTCAATCAATTCTTTTTTCTTTTTGCTCAAGTGAATTTCACATAACCTCTAATTGATTCTTATGAAAAGTATTAAATCCAACTTTGCATGATATGCTCTTTATTTGCCTGTTTCAAAATCATTTTTGCAATGGAAACTGGAAAGAAACAAAGGCTAAAATATGATTAATCCATTCTTAAAAGTGCGCATTTGCTTAGAATGGTCAACCCTAAAGTTATTTGCATAAAAGGTAAAGGGCTAAAAGCTAAATGCAGGAAATAGCAACGTACTTTCATTATTTTATTTTGTTTTTATTTCTTTTTGTTACATACAGTATTGTACCTCCAATTTTTTATTCGCATTATCAGTACAATGTACTTTGAATAATAGCTTTATATTTGGATGAAATTGCTATAAATATAATTGGTATATTCCTCAAAATACATTTTGTAGTAGAAAGAAATGAAAACACGATGCTATATTATATATAATAAAAAGTTGTGTGCATGAAAAGTGTGTATTATTTGGGAGACACCGTATAATTTTATTTTGGAATCTGAATGATTGGATTTAGGCAAACGAAGATTCACAACATTGGTGCTACGCTAGTGGGTGTTGACAAAGTTGGCAATAAATACTATGAGAAGCTTGATCAAACACAATATGGTGACTTTCTATTTATTAATACTATGTTTTAAGTTTTCTCATCCCTTCTTCTTTCACCTTCCTTTATTACTACAACCAAACCACCATTAAGTTTTCGTGGATTATGCATTCTAGTAGGAAACTAACTGTTTGGGTAATGTTTGTAGGAAGACACAGGTGGGTGGAATATGCTTCCAAGGATCGTTACAATGCTTCTCAGGTCCCACCTGAATGGCATGGTTGGCTGCACTTTATCACTGATCACACTGGAGATGAGGTAACCCCTCCTCCCTTCTACTTACTCCATGTACTATGTAGAAGGATCGTTACATTCATTTACACTAGTGATCTATATCTCCTTAATCTCTCAGTGTAATGTCACTTCATATCGACACCTGTGATATAAATAAACTGAGTGGGTCAGGTATCTTATAGCAAAACATTTGTTTGTTTGTTTGTTGCAGCTTCTAATGCTTAAGCCAAAGAGGTATGGGTTGGATCACAAGGAGAATTTCTCTGGAGAAGGCGATGAATACATCTACCATTCCAAGGGCCACACACTCAACCCTGGTCAAAGAGATTGGACTAGGTATCAGTCATGGCAACCCACCAAGACCCAATAAATCAATCAATCAATCTATCATTCTATCTCTTTCCCATAAATCATAATCAACAATCAATAACCATCATGCTTCAATTGCGCAAAGTTTAGCCATCAATCAATAACCATTGTTCTGTATCTGTATCAATAACTTGAGTTTGGCTTTTATGTTTTTTCTTCAGACAATATTATCAACTCCATGCTCCGTATCACAATGGCTCTCTACTTTTTCGTATTCATGTTTAATGTTTTACGATCCATGTTATGATTCCTATAATATGGGAAAGTTATAGATGATGATTTTCACTTGCTTACACCTCACAACTTTTTCAAAATGTGTTTAAATGTTGATCATCTTTGGGAATTGTTCTCTTGAAAAACTTGAATTCTTATGCCGACCAAAATAGTTTTTTCTAGTTATGTGAAATATTAAATACTTATGAAATTGTGAGGACCAATGGAAAAATATTAAAGGATTAACGCAGACCGACATGTTTTGATTTACATTAAGAATAATAAGTAATATAGGAAGATAATGTCAAGTACCCGTTATAATCTATTAATTTGGATTTAGTCAACATGTTTCTATTAATTTGGATTATTGCGATAGAAAAAATGATTTAGAAAGGTAAACATTGTTTTTGTGTTGTATGCAATTAGTTATTAGGCTTGAGGGAGTGGCCCTGCCACCCTTCTCGCCAAAAGGTTCGCTATGAAATGCTACACCATCCCCAACAGCTCGCTAAAGGATGTGCCAGGAAGAAGGCTAGCGAGATGAGAGAGAGAATGAAGAGCTTAAATTTGATTGGTGATTTCCTTTTTTTATTATTTTTTTTCGGGATCAACCTTAGGTTTGTTGTTGCCTCTCTCAATCCCCTCTCCACAAATTTGAGTTTTTCGCTTGCTTTCGGAAAAAAAAATCGCAATTTCTATGTTCGAAAATGGAAAATGGAAGACTATTGCTGCAACTAGTTGCTAGGAAGAAGAAGACATAAAATATGATTTTGACAGAAATAGACCTCCAAAAATCTCATACTTCCACATCATACCCTCTATCTTAATTCCTCTCATAAACTAAGTTTTTGAAAGTACCAAAAAAACCCTGCACTTAAATTTTATATTTATTTTATTGTAATTGATTTATATTATATTAATTGTTGGTGGTTTAAAAAAATAAAATTTGATTAATATTTGTGCATGAAAAATGTTTATGTATTATAATAAATTAATTTAATTAAATTATAAAAAAATGAAATGGTATGGGTGTTATCATTCCCTACCAAATGGTAAGATTAAGTGTTAAATGAAAAAAATAAAGTGATATTTAAAAGACTGATTTGACAAGATGCTATAAGTGTTCCTATTCCCTTTAGCCTTACTGTCATTTTTTTTGTGAAAAATATACCGATATATGTCTTGATGTAGCTTTTTGAAAGTACATTGTTTTCGTTATGCTACTACATAGATGCATTTCCAATCACTTAATTTGGTGATAAAAACATATTTTTAAAAGGTAAAATAATTGAAATTTTTTGATTTTTTAAAGAGTAAATTACTGAAATCGTCCCTGTGGTTTGATTAAAATTACACATTTGGTCCCTAACTTTTTTTTTTTGCACTCGGATCATCCATGTGGTTTGATTTTGTTGCGTTTTTTTGTCCATGTGGTTTGATTTTGTTACATTTTTCGTCCCTTACATACATAAAATTATGGACCAAACATGCAATTTTTACCAAATCATAGGGACGAAAAACGCTACAAAATCAAACCACAGGAATGATCCGGGTGCAGAAAAAAAGTTAGGGACCAAACAAACAATTTTGACCAAACCATAGGGCCGATTTCAGTAATTTACTCTTTTTTAAATATTATTTTTTTTGGCATTTGTATTTTCCAAAAATAATAAAAAATAATAATAAAATAAAATAACATAATTACTATTTTTTTAAATATATATAAAATATTCTAATAGAATATTTTATTATAAAAATTACAAAACTTTTAGAATATTCAAATAATTTTAACAGAATATTAGAATATTTTTATAAATTCTAACAATTGTAATAGAATATCAGAATATTTTGATATATGTAACTGTTTTAGTAGAATACTAAAATATTTTAAAATTTTAAAAACTTCATTTGAATATTTACAGTGTAATATTCTATTAGAATATTTCACTTTGATTTTTCCTTGTATTTTTCATTTTTTTTAAAATTTTATGATTTCCAAGATGAGTGACTAAGATCGCATCCCCATGTATCATAAAATTAACATGGTTTCAAATAAACCTCTCCCTCCCTCTCTCCCTCCCTCCCTCTCTCTCTCTTTATATATATATATATATATATATATATATATATATATATATATATATATATATATATATATATATATATATATATATATATATGCAATGCACTAGTTAACTTCCGGCCAATCTCCGATTATCTATTTTCCAGGCCAATCTCTGATAGAGGTAGTCTGCTTCTTTGTTGTTTCTGCTGTTGCTTTGGGTTATGGTGCACCATGACTCCAAAGCTTGTACTTGCCGTTAAACTTTAATAAAATGCCGCCTTAAGTTATATATGCATATAAAACCGAATGATAGTAGAAAATAGATATAGAATTATGAATTGTATACAAATTGCCACCTTAAGTCATGCTTTACAAACAAAATGGCTCACCGCGGCTCGTCAAAGTTTGATGTTTGACATTGCCGCCGATTCCATTCCTAAGGTTATTTAGAACCTTGGCAGTGAGACTCCAATTATGAAGCTCTGACAGGATGTTGACGGTTGATAAGGTTGTAGTTAAATGATTATGTTTTTCCGACCAATCTTCGATGACTTTTGATGGTGGGTTTAGGCGAGGCTAACAACAAAGGAAGTCTGGTTTGTAGGCAAGGGTAGCTAGCAGTGGCTGGAAGAGGTTTTCTGGTGGTGACCGGAAAAACTGGAGGCTCGCAGGAAAAATTATGTTGCTGGAGAAGATAACCGAAGGCATGCCAGAGATATCAAAATCACTAGAAAATCCATTTTTTGGAGGCCATCAACAAGTCATAAAAATGTAATGTGAACAAAACTAACAAGTTAACTTGTGTATTTTGTAAAAAAACATTAGTGACTAAATTCGTAGAAAATGAATACTAGATTTGCCATTTGAAGTCATTTCCTGCCATATATACATTATTTTTTGTCCCTTTTCAAAAAAGAAATTCAAAACTAACATTTGTTGTTTTAAAAAAATCAAATATTGATCAACCTTTTCGATTTGGTCCTTCTAGAAGTTAACATGCTTTCATACATTAACATGTCATCTTTTATTATAGCCTCGTCGGAGATATCAAAATCACTAGAAAATCCATCTTTTGGAGGCCATCAACAAGTCATAAGAATGTAATGGGAAAAAAATTACAAGCTAACTTGTGTATTTTGTAAAAAAAACACATTGTAACTAAATTCGTACAAAATGAAACCAACATTATATATATATATATATATATATATATATATATATATATATATATATATATATATATATATATATATATAAAATATTTTTTCCCCTTTTTTCAAAAAAGAAATAAAACTAACATTTGTAAATTAAAAAAAAAAAAATCAAATGTTGATCAACCTTTTCAATTTGGTCATTCTAGAAGTTAACATGTTTTCAACCGGAGGACCCAACCCACATACTCGTCCCCACCCATAGTAACGGGCCCAATCCAACATATAATCGGGACCAACCCTGCGTACATATAGGTCCATCCCATCATACATATGGGCCCAACCATTCATACAATTCGGCCCAACTCTGCATACATACAGGCCCAAACTAACATACATATGCAAGAGTCACAAAGACAGTTAGCACCCTACTTACTATAGTGAGAAGTCTTACCTCGCAAACATAGTCAAAATCCAATAGCTCTCACGTAGTTGAGGAATAGGTGCTAAACACCACCTAATCAACCATATAAGCTAAAACCTTAGTTCACCTACCAAACTAGCAATTTGACCAAAAGTCAATCTTGGTCAAATTCAATACCCAAAGTCAACGGTTAACTTCTATGTCAAAATTCAATAACTTGCATCAGCAAGCCTCCACGTTGTGGCCTTCTTTTGGCCACGTTGTGGTTGCAAAATGACAAAACAGTTGGGTTGTCCCAATTGCCACGTTGTGGTAGCCGAAGGCCACATCGTGGGAACTGGGTCTAAACAACTTAATGAGTTAAGTTATTTTTTCCCCATTCCACAAGCTTTAAAGCTCAAATATGATCCTTCTCAAAGTATCAATGGATAAAGTTTCTGTGACAACACGTAATTTCAATCTTGTAAAAGTCAAACTTATCCAATAAAAGTTAAACTAGTTCTTTGATGTAATCTTAAGGTTAGATTGATAACCTCTGTATGTTAAACTCATAGTTATTTAAGGTTGTAAAATTTTAATTTAAATCATTTAAAACTGAGGACCTTCGCATGAGCCACAAACCCTCGCTGGGCGGTAATCCCTCGGACTGCAAACAGTTCGGACCGCAAACGGTTTATAGCCGTAAACCTTCAGTTCGCGACCGTGAACTCCTTCGGACCGCAAACTCTCTCTCTCTCTCTCTCTCTATATATATATATATATATATATATATATATATATATATATATATATATATATATATATATATATATATGTTTGACCGGAAATTTCACCACTTCTACACTTCTGGCCGAAAACCCAAGAATTTTCTCCCAAGATCTTCAACCGCAAACTCACAGTTTTCTCTCAGCCATACTCGAAGATCATTTGATTCTGTGACAACCTGAAATTTATCATGTCATTGTAACCTCTTTTTCCGTTAATAAAACTCGTCTTTATCAAACTTTTCCGTTAGCAATTGAATTAGGTTATTTAAATTGAGACTTTTATGACTTCATGAGTGTCCAATCGAGATACAATCACGTGAAACATCCTCAGATTCTTTTAAAAAGATTTCTTGTTTACGACAACGTCAGGTTACGACCATTTAATCGGGTACGACCATAAGCTTCGTTTAACGTCGGTATCGGGTAGATTTCCACCGGGGCACAAACTCAAACCCTATATAAGGGTGAGTGGACCTCCATTTGAAGCCTTTTCACTCTCTTAACACTCTCTCTCACTACTCTCTCTCTACAAGCCAAATTTTGCTCCAAAACCACCCCTTTCAAGCTCCAAAATTGGTTAGTGATCTATCCTAGCTTATGGTTTAGCTTGTTTAGCATACAAATCCGTGTTTAAATAATCAAAAAGTACCAAAATCTTGTGTTTATGGCCTAGGAACAACCCCAAACCGGAAACACCCATAAACGGGGTT